TCAGAAAGAAAGTGTATGCAAAGTAAAACTTTTATGAGAATATTTAAATAGAAACTTGTTTAAAGAAAATCATCTACTGATTGCGTCTGCATTATTTTATAGAAATCCCGCAAAAAAGCTAACTACAAGTTGGTTAATTTTTATGAATTGATATCTTTTTCTGCAGGGTATGTATGAGATGCACATGTATGTATACCCTGCAGGAAATGGTACTAGTTTGTAGCTAACTATTAACTAACTAGCAGTCGACTAGTAGTAGCTATTTATTAACTATTTCCTTTGGCCGTAGCTAACTACTTTTGAAGGGCCATGGCCGCAAAATAGTGATCCCTGGTTTCCCCTGCCTTAGACGTCAACTAACTTGTAGCTAACTACTTTTGACATAAACTATAAAAAAATTCTATTTTATATATAATTTTTAATTTATTTTATTTAACATTGCATATTTGCTTATTTGTCCACATTTGAATTCCATCAGACAAAGATAACATCAAAATAATATTGTAAAGTGTCGATCTTTATTTTATTTGTCCTGAATTCGAAAAAGAATCTGCGAAGTGCAGACGAAAAGTGTATTGAAAATTATTTTTTGTAGGAGGATATTTAAATGGAAACTTGTAAAGAAAACAAACTCCCGATTACGTCTGCATGACTCCTGCATGACTTTACAACCAATTTAAAGTTAGTTTGGCCTTAGCTGATTAGAAGTCAGTTATTTATCGAAATCCCGAAAAAACGCTAACTATAAGTTGCTTATTTTAATCAATTGATAATTTTTTTCTGCAGGGTACACATGTACTTATCTGTGTAACCATTAAAATTATAGTGAATACAAAACGGATATTAGCTTTAATATTAAAATCGCTAAAATTGAAAACAGCGAATGCTGCTCCAGGGAATTCTGAGTTTATAGATTATTTTAGCATTAAAGAAGCTTAAGATATTAAGAGTTTTAAATATTTTATTTACCTATTGTGAATTTAAATTGTTGCAGAAAAATATGAGTAGCATTTATAGTAAGCCTCGCAAAGCCAGGCAACGTCGCGACGTACACTATAACGAGTGCGGCCAAAAATAGTAAAAATGAAATTAGCAAATTCGTAAAAATGTAAATTTAATATAAATATTCGTGTATAAGCAGAACAGACATATTTTTATTTCAAAACGTTGAGTTTTACAAATGATCTCTAACAAAATACAGTAGACGCTCACAAATTAGAACCACTTTGTTTTTAGGGTGATTCTAATTTCTGAAAAATTCTAATTCCTGGACGTTTTTTATTTCAATAAAACCTTAAAATTTAAGTCAATTTGCAATGAAAAACTACAATGAAATTTTGTCTTACTAAATTTTATTCATAAAAACGAGAAAACATAAGGTAACAATCCAATATACATATATGTATTTATGCGCTAAGTCAAAAAAAGGTCCAAAAAACAAAAACTCCAATTACAGTAAATATATTTTTTTTTATCAAAAATACATAAGAGATCGATAAATATACATTAAAACAGCCAAAAATTAATCAAAAACTTCGTAACTAATTTGCAGGCATGTAGTCTGTTATTGCTGTTTGCTTCTTCCTTTTATTTGTTTCTGCAATAACAATCTCATTGCGAAGAGCTAGCAGATTGCTTGTGTGCTTTGCGGAAAACGATTCACTATAAGTACACCATTTTATTAAATTATTGACGCTTTCAATGGCTG